ACATTGGTTATAATCAAGGAGTAATGGTATTGTACGATTCTGATTGCGTATGCTCTTGGTGGCCATATATATCAGGAAGTAGTACAATACCGGTATTGTACTACTCCCTGATATATACTATAGTTCATCGTCACGCAGCTCCCCACAAAGTACAAATTGTAGTAAAAGCAATTACGTACTAATACGTATAGTAATATGCAGACACATACAACTAGTAGTCACACAAAGTATCTATAATAAGCACACGTACTAGGAATAGTACGTAAGCAGGCTATCTTTATCCTTTTACGCTTGGTCTGATTACCTGCATACACGACTTACACGGCACGGTCTTCCACGGCATGGTCACTTGCACCAGTAACATTGTACATAATTCCACACTGCCTTTATCATCAACACCAGTTCCTGTTAACGCGTAACATCTCAGGCTTTGTAGCAGGGAGTAGCACAGTGCCATTGTACCATTGTGCTACTCCCTGCTTGACACAGACTTGCGTCATAGTGACATTTGCGAATAGCTGCCCCTGCAGTATAAAATTTATTTTATTTTGTGTTTCTCTCTGACGACTATAGCATCTGGATTCGGAATAGCCTTACTATCTTGAGACGGGTCAGCCATACCTGAAACATGTTGTTCATTGTGACTAAAACTTGAGTCAACATTATCTATTCCCCTAGAAACGACGTGAATAACTAAATGTAATACAACTAAATGTAATACAAATTAAATTAGGAAGAAAATTTCACTCTTACAAGCCGCCCACGTAAATACTGGACACACTGAAGGTACCCGTGCGAAGGCCAGCTGCTACTTGATATCCTTCGTAGGATTCATCCTCATCACTCAGCAAAGACTGATGGATTCGTTCCCTACATCGTCAAAACAAACTTCAAAAAGTACTGCTCGAAAACTTCTTGACAGCATTCTGCCACTCTCTTCAAGTCGTTCTATGAATTTTTTTGAAAAATGCTACGAAATGCTACGATAAATGGTACGCGAAGTACGATATTTCGTGACGTTTCCCGGGACACAGCGCGCAAAGTACGATATTTCGTGACGTTTCCCGGGACACAGCGCTCCACAGAAAAGTGACCTGAGGCAAAGCTCGCCCGCCTGAATGTGTGGCCGTGTCACCTCCCGGTATTGAACTACTCCCTGATGTAAACACAGCCTTGGTTATGTAATCTTGTTACCTTTTTTGCGTTTCCTCCAGTGGTTTTATTGCACTTGTATCTTGATGTTATTTCTAACACTTTTCTATTTACAGTACTTAACTTCAGTTTCTTTGGTTGTATCCTTAGTTCCGTTTTTTCCCACTGATGATAGGAACGAGAAAACCGATTCTGGGTTTTCAATAATATTTTTGTTATAAACTACACAGTAATACATGTCAAACAAGTAACGTAGTTGCGTGATGTCTGCGGCCTTCATCCTATTCATAGCTATAATTATTATCTCCACGTAGGTTATTTATTATTTCTCCTTTATTCACTTCTTTCGAAGGCGATAAGCCAGACCCACCGGGAAATATTTCCATGGGTGGGACAGCAAAAAGAAAGTGAAAAAACAAAAACAAAAATAAATAAATAAATAAAACCTAAAAACCAAAGGGACAAGAACTAGTTGAAGGAAGAGGAAGAAAGGAAAGAAACTCAATCCGAACTCCAACATCAAAACAATAATAAAGAATTTGCAGCGACAAGCAAAATACATCAACCAATGAAGGGAGTAGTAACAAAGGAAATATCAGTCTTTATCAGTCGTTATTCAAGTCTCTTAGCTATTGAACATGCAAACGCAGCAGAGGTGCATCTACATGTTAAGGATAGTTCTCAGTATTTTAATCGAACCTTGTATAGCCTCCTGTTGCACAATAGCCAGGTCTCCTCCCTGCACAGTCCGAAGGCATTGAGGAGTCTCCCCCACCAAGCCTCCCAGGGCACCGACAACCACAGGGACCACGTCAACCTGGTTGAGGGACCAAATCCTCGAAATCTCCCGCTTCAAATCATAATATTTCGAGCGCTTTTCAGCCATTTTCTTATTGATGTTGTTCTCACCAGGAACGCTGATGTCTATAATGTAGGCGATGCGCTCCTTGTCATCAACAAGGAGCAGATCGGGCCTGTTTGCTGATAGTTTCAGGTCAGTTGGGACCGAATACTCCCAATAGAGGCGATACTGATTACTCTTGACCAATGCCTTGAGCTGGTGGTCGAATCGTGAAGCACCAGTAGGTAGATCTCGTGCTTTACACATTTCGAAGTGCACATACTTTACTATCCGGTTATGTCGTTCAATGTAACTGGTCCGAGCAAGAACTGGGCAGGCACTGACAATGTGGTCAATTGTTTCTAAGCTGCCCTTGCAAAGCCTGCAATTGGCATCAGTTCGAGGAATTGACTTCATTATGGCGTATTGGTAATTTTTCGTTTTGAGGGATTGGTCTTGTGCTGCCATAATCATGCCTTCAGTTGAAGGCTTCAGTGTCCTTGATTTCAACCACATGAAGGTAAGCTCCTTATCTAGGCGATTCTCCTCCAATCGGCTCCAATATCTCCCATGCAGCGGCATAGTGGAAAGTGTTTTGGATTTTCGCTCAGCGCACGCTTGTTTAATGGTATGCTTATTGGGTAAAGCTGGTCCAGCTGCTGGCAGATCCAAACTCGACAGGAACTTAGCGGCCTTTGCAGTTATTGCAGTTATTATTATTATTATTATTATTATTATTATTATTATTATTATTATTATTATTATTATTATTATTATTATTATATAAAACTCATTGGGTTTTGTAGTTTCCATCATGAGTTTGATTCCATCGTGAGTTTGATTCCATCGTGAGTTTTGATTCTATTTGCTATTTTTCGTTCCATTTTTGAGCTCATATTTTATTTTCCTGATTTCTTCTCCAGTGTATGTTGTATTGCATTTTAATACATTGTGTTAATTTTTGCCCGTAAAAGAGGCTTGCACATTATTATTATTATTATTATTATTATTATTATTATTATTATTATTATTATTATTGTAATCAACGCAATAAATAGAGTAAGCTGCGCACTCAGTACAAACACCATAAGCAAAACTTGTTTTCATGTATAATAAATAAGCTTGTTCCTAAACGTTTTCGTCGCCATCTCATCAGAGGATTACTGGCAAATCAACAAAAGCTCTTAACTCAATATATATACGCACAATGCAAGTAATAATTTAGACCCTAACTAGCGCGATAAAATGAGAGCTGAAAGAAACATTACACCATTCAACGATATCAGCATGTGCCTCTTCACGTTATGCCTGTTGAGGCACGGTCGTCAAGGCCTAGACGAGGTCGTCCCCCAAAGATTGGTACTGCGACTGGAGTTGCACCCTCGCTGGGGACGGAACCAACTGGGGTGTCGTTGTCTTCTTCGTCGGCATCGGCTTGTTCGTCATTGCCTTCGTCTTTACCGTCTCTTCCTCCTATCCCGTCATCATCGTTGGTATCTGCGGTTTCGTCTTCTTTGACTTCCTCTGTACCGTCATCCGGTGTGTCCACCTCCGGTGGCAAAAAGCGTGGCCGGCCACCGAAGAAACCACCGGATGGTGTGTCTGCGGGACCAGTGACTCGCTCTAGGGCGAGGTTAGCAGAGTCTTTATCGTCTCCGTCGTTGTCGTCATCGTCGTCGTCAGCGTCTTCCTCATCTCCCTCCTCCTCTTCATCAACATCAACAGCCATTGGAACGTCAAAGGGAGCATCATCGCAGCAGGCAGTGCCAGCAACGGACGTGCCTTTGGTAGGGACATCTACATCGGCCTCGTCTGGATTGGCAGTAGCGGCAAGGAATGTCAGGTCGGTTTCATTGTCACGTAATTCCAAAGTATGTACTGGTTCTAGTAGCGTTGTTAGGGTGTATGAATCTTCTATCGCCAACCATCTTGTTCAGAATAGTGATTGTCGTTCTAGTTATGCTGATGATTGCTTTTCTGTTTGGTCTCGTTCACGTAGTCAAAGGTATTTGCGTGTATTGGAGTCTATTTACATTTTTACCACCAGGCCGATTTTGTGTAGGCAGAAAAAGAATTTGTTTACGTTGAAATTGTTTGTGAATTTAGATCAGTAGTTCTCGTTTGTGGTTGCTTGGTGACTTTCTAGTGGTGAATTTATCGCATTTGTTGTCACCTGATATCGTTGAATGGTGTAATGTTTCTTTCAGCTCTCATTTTATCGCGCTAGTTAGGGTCTAAATTATTACTTGCATTGTGCGTATATATATTGAGTTAAGAGCTTTTGTTGATTTGCCAGTAATCCTCTGATGAGATGGCGACGAAAACGTTTAGGAACAAGCTTATTTATTATACATGAAAACAAGTTTTGCTTATGGTGTTTGTACTGAGTGCGCAGCTTACTCTATTTATTGCGTTGATTACATTTTTATCTCCACGGAAGCTTTTTAATTATTATTATTATTATTATTATTATTATTTCTCCTTTATTCACTTCTTTCGAAGGCGATAAGCCAGACCCACCGGGAAATATTTCCATGGGTGGGACAGCAAAAAGAAAGTGAAAAAACAAAAACAAAATAAATAAATAAATAAAACCTAAAAACCAAAGGGACAAGAACTAGTTGAAGGAAGAGGAAGAAAGGAAAGAAACTCAATCCGAACTCCAACATCAAAACAATAATAAAGAATTTGCAGCGACAGGCAAAATACATCAACCAATGAAGGGAGTAGTAACAAAGGAAATATCAGTCTTTATCAGTCGTTATTCAAGTCTCTTAGCTATTGAACATGCAAACGCAGCAGA